GGGAATGTTCTTCCAGGTTTGATGCTTTTTTTTTGCTGGGAAGGAGAAGCGGCACTAAAAGAGGTCGAGATGAGGGTGCTGGGATAAATCTGAGGGTGATGAATAAAGATGAGGGTGTTGGGATAGAGATGAGGGTGTTGGGATAAACCTGAGGATGCTGGGATTAAGATGGTGCTGGGATAAACCTGAGGGTGTTGGGATAAACCTGTTGGTCCTGGAATAAACCTGAGGGTGCTAGGATAAACCTGGTCATCCTGGGATAAAGCTGAGGGTGCTGGGATTAAGATGGTGCTGGGATAAACCTGCTGGTGCTGGGATAAAGATGAGGGTGCTGAGAGAAAGATGAGGGTGCTGGGATAGAGATGAGGGTGTTGGGATAGAGATGAGGGTGTTGGGATAAATCTGAAGGTGCTGGGATAAAGATGAGGGTGCTGAGAGAAAGATGAGGGTGCTGGGATAGAGATGAGGGTGTTGGGATAGAGATGAGGGTGTTGGGATAAATCTGAAGGTGCTGGGATAAAGCTGAGGGTGCTGGGATGAACCTGGTGGTCCTGGAAGAAACATGAGGATGTTGGGATAAACCTGAGGGTGCTGGGATTAAAATGGTGCTGGGATAAAACCGAGGGTTCTGAGATAAACCTGAAGGTGTTGGGACAAAGCTGAGGGTTCTGGGATGAAGATGAGAGCGCTGGGATAAAGCTGAGGGTGTTGGGATGAACTTGGTGGTGCTGGGATAAACCCGAGGGTGATGGAATAAAGATGAGGGTGCTGAGATAAAGATGAGGGTGCTGGGATAACGCTGAGTGTGTTGGGATAAATCTGAAGGTGCTGAGATAAAGCTGAGGGTGTTGGGATGAACTTGGTGGTGCTGGGATAAATCTGAGGGTGCTGGAATAAGGATGAGGGTGCTGGGATAAAGCTGATGACGCTGGGATTAAAATGCTACTGGGATATAACCTGGTGGTCTCAGAGGGGCTGAGGCACACCCCGGCTCTCGCGTGGGGGGGTCTCAGGGGGTTGTGTGTGATTGATTTCTCCTCCCTCCTCCTCCTCCCCCCTCAGTGTGCCAACCTGAAAGCCGCCATCGCCGACGCCGAGGAGCGCGGGGAGCTCACCCTGAAGGACGCGCGGGCCAAGCTGGCCGAGCTGGAGGATGCCCTGCAACAAGCCAAGGCAGACCTGGCCCGCCAGCTCCGCGAGTACCAGGAGCTGATGAACGTCAAGCTGGCCCTGGACATCGAGATCGCGACCTACAGGAAGCTGCTGGAGGGGGAGGAGTGCAGGTAGGAAGGGGGATGGGTTTCTGGAGGGCTGGACGGAGCTTTGAGGGGGAGGTTGTGCCGGATCGTGGAAATAACGCCAAAAAAATTCCACCAAACCAACAAAACGCAGCCGTGTGAACCGCGCTGTGATTTTGTTTTTCTCCCCCCCCCCAAAAAAAAGTCTGTGGGAAATGTATCCTGTTCTCTGTGTGTGTGTCCCCCAAAATTTCACCAGATTCCTAATCCCTTGCGCTCCCTCTCCCCCCCCGAACAGGCTGGCCGGAGACGGCGTCCCCGTGAATATCTGTAAGTCCCTAAAAATAATTAAAATAAATGATAAAACATTCCCCTACCCCCGCGTGGCCGGAAGGGCTGAAAAAAAAAAAAAACCTTTCCCTTCTCCTTCTTCTTTTTTTTTTTTTTTTTTTAATTTATTTTTCCTCCTCGCAGCCGTCACCAGGACGACCGTGGGGTCGGGGTACGGCGCGGGGAGCAACCTGAGCGTGGCCGGGGGGATCTGCAACCCCGGCAGCGCCTTCGGCGGCCCCGGCGGGGTCAGCGCAGCCCTCGGCGCCGGCAGCAGCTCCAGCGTCAAGTTCGTCTCCACCTCCTCCACCAGAAGAAGCTACAGGAGCTAAACCCGACCCCGATCGACGCTTTTTCAGGCGCCAAAAAAAAAAACAAACAAACAAACCCCCCCTCCCCAAACTCAGCGTCCTGGGGGGTCCCCCTAAACCTCGTCCTCCCTTGGGGGGCGCGGGGTGTTTAAAAAAAACCCGGTTTCAAACTCCTCGCTTGGTGGTTCAGCTCAGCTCAGCTCAGGGTGGGTTTTTTTTGGTCTTTTTTTTGGGTTTTGTACATAAAACGTGTCCTCGTCCCGTCGCTGTCGGTCTCTCTCTCTCTCTCTCTGCGCTCGCTCTGCTGTTCGTCTAATTAAAAAAAAAATAAATTAAAAAAATAATAATAAAAAGAAAGGAGCTCACGTGTAATTTATTCGATTGCGCGGGGGCCCTTTAATTAAAAAAGAGGCGCCGCGAAGGAGGGCGAGGTTCAAAGCTCGGCGTTTTTTTCCGCTCCTCGCTGGGATTTCAGGGAATTTCTCCGTCGGGATCCGGGACACACGGGCAGGGCAGAGCCCGCGGCGAGCTGGGCTTTCAATATTCCAGGTTAAATTTCAATATTTCAGGTTAAATTTCAATATTCCAGGTTAAAACCTCTTGGAAAAATAATTCCCAGCGGAGTCAGAGCTGCTTGTTCTCAGCCCTCTGTCGCCCTGGGCTGTCCCAGCCGAGCCCTCCCAGTGCTCCCAGTGCTCCCAGAGCGCTGGTCACGCTGGTTTAAGGTGTTCAGGTTGGTGTTTGGCGCCGACATTCCCTCTTTTTTTGGCTGGGAACAGGGAGTGGATCAGCTCCACGTGCCGGTCAGCAGCGGATTGGGGGTCATTCCCGGTCCGGAATTCAACCCCTCCCCTGCCCCGAAATTGGAGAAATTAGGAAAAAAAAAAAATCACCAAGAAAAGGCTCTCACTGATGGAAACTCCTCAAGATCCCACTTTTTTTTCCCACGTTTTGGGCAGAGAACCCAAGAGGAGGGGTGGGGGGTGGGGGTTGGGGGGGAGGTTTGAGAGGTGGTTCTGACTAACGAGGAGAAAGTTAATTGAGGAGCCGAAGCTTCAGTTAATTGAGGAGCCGAGCTCCTCTTTCCTGTCAGGGAGGGAAAAGGTCGCCCCCCCTGAACCTCCTTTTCCCCTGGCTGAGCCCCCCCAGCCCCCCCTGGAATCCTCCAGGAGGAATTGCTGACTCAGGCAGAGACAAAGTCACCCCGTGAGGGAGGAAAGAGCCCAAAAATCTACAAAGGGGAAGCCCTGAGAAACTGCTGACTCAGGCAAAGTTGTCTCACAAGTGAGGAAACAGCCCCAAAAAATTGGTGAGGTGAAGCCCTGAGGAATTGCTGACTCAGGTAGAGGCAAAATCACTCCTTGAGTGAGGAAACAGCCCCAAAAATCTGTGAAATGAAGCCCGGAGGAACTGCTGACTCAGGTAGAGACAAGGTCACCCCATGAGTGAGGAAACAGCCCCAAAAATCTGTGAAATGAAGCCCTGAGAAACCACAGGTTCAGGCAGAGCCAGAATCACCCCATGAGGGAGGAAACAGCCCAAAAAATCAGTGAGGTGAAGCCCCGAGAAATTGATGACTCAGGCAGAGCCAGAATCACCCCATGAGGGAGGGGTGAGGGAATCACGTCCCACATTCCCCTTCTCCAAACCCCCAGGAGGCTCCAAACATTCCAGGAGGGAGAAGGGAAAACCGATCCCTCCCCCCTTTCAGCTCCCTCCGCCCTCCAGGCCGGGAAAAATCCCAAATCCCGTCGGGAACGAGCCCGGGGGAGGCACCGAATCCCAAATCCCAAATCCCGTCGGGAACGAGCCCGGGGGAGGCACCGAATCCCAAATCCCACCGGGAATGAGCCCGGGGGAGGCACCGAATCCCAAATCCCAAATCCCGCCGGGAACGAGCCCGGGGGAGGCACCGAATCCCAAATCCCGCCGGGAATGAGCCCGGGGGAGGCACCGAATCCCAAATCCCGCCGGGAACGAGCCCGGGGGAGGCACCGAATCCCAAATCCCGCCGGGAGCGAGCCCGGGAGAGGCTCTGGATGCAGCAGGAAAAGCATTCCCGGAGAATTCCAAGCGCAAAGAACTCAGTCGGGACCGGGACGAGCAGGTGGGAAAAAAAAAGGGAAACTTTATTAACGGCCTCGGGACAGACACGAAAAGCACAAGAATTCCACCCAAAAAAAACGCGCCCTCGGGACACGGCCGAGCATCAGCAGGGCAGGCTGAGGAATTCCTTGGATTATTCCCTAAAAACCTTCCCCAGGGAGGGGAGGGGGGGAAAGCCCCGCTGTGGCAGGAACGAGTAGTTTTTGGGACCCGCATCAACCCCAAACAAATCCCCAGGGATCATCGAACGGCTCCAGGGCCACCCAAAAATCGGGAATGGTGTCTCCCGTTGGAGCGGGACACTTGGAATGTCGAGCAATTTAAATGTCTGGGCGGGTTTCGGGGAGTTATTTCACCCCCCAAAGAGCCCCAAATAAAATCTGCTTTTGGTCCAAAAACGGCTCCAGGCGGGGAAGGGGGGGGAAGTGTCGGAATTCCAGCTCCGAACCCATTCCCAACGGGAACGGGGAGGAATTCCCGAGCGGGGGATGGGGGAGAGGGAGAATCTCCCGCCTCTCTTTGGGCAGAAACGCGGGATTTTGGGAAGGGGGAGGTTCCAAGGGCGGAGATGAGAGCGGTAACACCCCCCTCCCCTTTTCCTTCATCCCCCAAAAATCCCATCCCGGGGGGGGGGGGGGGGGGGGAGGGGCTGATGCTGCTCCTGGTGGGATCTGATCCTGCTCCCGGTGGGATTATCCCGGCGCGGGAGTGGCCGTGGCAAGACCTCCTTGTTTTGGTTTGTTTTGTTTTGTTTTGTTTTTTTGTTTTGTTTTTTTGGTTTTTTTTTTAGGGGGGTGGAATTTATCCCGGCGAGGAGGCACCGAGACGTTTCTTCCCGAGGGTTTCCCTCTTTCCTTTCCTTCTTTTTCCTTTTCCTTTCCCTCTTTTTTTTTTTTTTCCCGGGAGCGGCGCCGGAATCACTTCCTGACGCTGCGGCGGCTGCTGGAGGTGCTGGTGGTGGTGATGGAGTAGGACTTGGTGGCTCCCCCCGAGGACAATCCCAGGGCTCCGCTGCCCATCCCGGCCCCCAGGGCTCCTCCCAGGAATCCCGCGGAGCTGGAGAAGCCGCCGCCGCTGGAGCTGGAGCTGAGCACGGCTGGGTATGG